ATTTAGTCTCCCGTGGTTTCTTCTAATTTCTCCTTTGCCTGCCTTCTTTAGCTTGCCTTTCTGTATTTTTTTTATTGGCCGGCTGCTTGCAGGTGAACGGGAAGCTGCTGCTGATAGTTGTAAGATGTTGGCACGATCAGAGCAATAGTAACCTCTTTTCTCTTTAGCATTACTGCTGGAGGTGTAATGGATGTTAACACCGCCCTGCAAGAAGTGCTGAAGACCGCACTTATCCATGATGGCCTAGCTCGTGGTATTCGTGAAGCGGCCAAAGCTTTGGACAAGTAAGTGGTGGTCCCATTTTGTCTGTGCTGAATAGCAAAACTGGGTGAGGTGCGTTGTGATGAGCTGTGCTGAACACATGCAATGCTTGGCTTGTCCAGATGTTTAGTTGAAAGCTTTTGCAAGAGTACGCTTTTATGCCAAGGAGTTTTGTCTTTTGCTGTATCTTTTTCGGGGTCTTTAATTGTGACCCTAAAGTACAGATGCTAAACTCAGTGACTCGAGAATAACAGCGTCTAGTGTATTAGGTTCTGTCTTTCTGTGACTCCTGCGCCATCAAGTTTTCATGTGGATTGGTTTTGTGAAGAGAAGGAAATGGCGCTTGCGGTATGTAGCTATGGAAATCTGGGGCTCAACAACCTTGTGTTTTAAGAAATGATAAACTCTTCTCAAAGCTTTCTTAGAATTCCAGTTGGGAGGGTTAATATGTATGTCAGACTTAACCTGGAAGAGTTAGTTTACTTTTTATGAAGAAAACCTGAAATTCATAGCTTCCCTTTACCTTTTTTGCTAGCTTCATTTTTTATGTTGCAGATGTAAATAATTGCTTTGGTACAATATCAGAACAATATTAAACTTGTCATATATGTGCTAGCCATGGTAATTAGTTACAGTTTCTTGGTAGGGTGAAGTATTACATATATGTGTGTACATATACACATACATACACACCTCTGTGTGTGTCTCTATATGTAGGCACATACTTCTAAGAATAGACAGTGCTTAAGTGTAATGCTACAGTGTTTGGGTGATGACTTAACAATTTGTCGGATACCCCTTCACTCTTATGAGTGAGAACAGCAGTCTGACAAACCTGTATGCAAAAAGCTCTAAGACAAGGTACTAAATAATGGAGGATAAATACAACTTAGATGACCGACAACTAGTTTGTAAGAGTTCTTTTGAGTTTAGCTACAACTTCATATGCTGTGTGTTAAGAGGATGATGTATGTACAAGGTTTATATACATTTGTGTGTGATGGTTCTTGCTTGGAAATGTTTCTGAAACATTCTGGTGAAACTCATGATGAAGGTGGCTGTGGAGAAAACTGACTTTGTTTGTTTGCAGTGGTCAAATTACATTAGGTTAAGCACAGAAGACCTATACAGCTCTCTTTGTTGTCAGGTATTCCTTTGGTATTCTTAACATTGTACCACAGTATACAAAGAGCATAATTAGAATTGGGGCCCTGTCATAACAGCTTCTTTGACCGTAAGTAGAAAAGATTGTTCTGAAGAGTTTATAACAACTTGATGTGGAAATTCAAGCTTTTAATAATGACAATTCTAATGTTAAATTATTGTAATCTGAGGTAAACAAGAAAAAGCAACTTGTAACTCAGTTGCTTTCTAACAGTGACAGCAGTTCTTTATGGGACCTGGTGTTTATCCAGTCATTACACCTTTTTCCAATGGCTGAGAACTTATTTAGTGGGATTTTTAGAAGCTTTTGAAACTGGAATAGAATTTGATAATAAAGCTAACAATGTATGAGTAGTCTGCTACATATATGGAAAACATAAAAAGTAGCAGATGATATCAAAAGTATTTTTAGTATTTCAAAAGTGTATGGTGTCTCAGAACCAAAAATTAAATTTAGGAAGTGGTGGTTGTCTAGAAATGCACGTGCTGAATTTTGGTCTTCACAGTTTTGATCATTAAAGAAAGTTTAAGCAGTGTCTGAGGTTACATTTGTCAGTTTTCATTTCTGGTTTGTTTTAGACGCCAAGCCCATCTTTGTGTTCTGGCTTCAAATTGTGATGAACCCACGTATGTAAAGCTAGTTGAAGCACTTTGTGCAGAACATCAGATCAACTTAATAAAGGTGAGTGTCAGAACTTCAAACGCAAGTTTGGATCAGTTACCTTGCTTGCAATATAAGCTGCTGGTTTCAGCATAGAGAGCTGAACCTTTGAGACACTCTGCTGTAAGTCTGTATATGACTTATCTAAGCAAAATTTCTCTTGGCAGTAGAGATTGTTTTAGTTCTATGATTGTCACATAAGCAGTACAAAAACTGGATGTAAATGGCAAAGGATGCGTGTCGGGTATTTTACAAAGTTGAAATGAATTTTTGTGTCCTGTATAATGAGAAAAAGAATTAATGCTGCAAGTGGTTGTGGATCATGGGAGGAGTCTTAACATGACTTCAAATTAAAATACCTATGAGCTGTACAGTGATGATACTTTGGCTCCCTCTACTGATACTTGTGAGGAAAGAGCCATCTGTTACCCAATACTTCTGAGAGTACAGCAGCTTTTTCGCTGAATCTAGTGAAGTTAGAAATGACTAGTTCTGATGTGATGCAATGTTTTACACAGGTTGATGACAACAAGAAGCTGGGTGAATGGGTAGGTCTCTGCAAGATTGACCGAGAAGGAAAACCTCGCAAAGTAGTGGGCTGCAGTTGTGTGGTTGTCAAAGTAAGATGATGCTAATTCTAGCTTATTTCTTCTGAAAATAAGCAGTAAAGATAAGGATGCTTTAGATAAGGGACTATTAAATAGAACTTTTAGATTTTTTTTAAAACAGTTGCTTTTCATTGTTTATAGTGAAAGTAAGCTGCTTCCTGGTTCTGTATTCCCTTTCATGTTTATTTAAAATACTCATATTAATTTTGTGAGTTAATGGTTGTGTCCTTAAAGTATCTATGCCCACTTGCCAGTAAGCATTAAAGGAAAGGCCTTTTAACTAGAGGAGAGGCAGTTTTGCTGAAGAAGAAAATGCCAGTTAAATGTGTCTGCTTAACTTGAAAATGTTTTGCAGAGCATATTCTAAAACAGCTGGTAAAGTAAAGCCACAGTACGAGCCTTGAAGACTTTGTTGTCTTTGAGGTCCCAAGAGATGGCTACATCTTTGCAGTAAAGACTAATGCCTTCTGCATGTGTTTTCATACTTTTGTTATTGTGTCACATACTTTAATTGGCTTTCTCTAAGCAGAAATGAAGAATTTGTTTGAATCTATACGAATAGAATGAAATAGAATAGTCCTTTATTAGAATAGCCATTTATTAGAGAACAAAGGGAAAGCAGTTGACAGATTGCTTGAGGTTACTTGTATGGAATTTTGGGAATATTTAGGAATGTCTTGGGAAAACATGTCAGAATCTCAGTTGTCCTTTTAAAAATAGGTTGTAAAATCTTGAATGGGTCTGTATGTTATTAATGGGTTATTTTGTGTTACAGGACTATGGCAAAGAATCTCAGGCCAAAGATGTCATCGAAGAGTACTTCAAGTGCAAGAAATGAATGGAAAATAAATTTTGAACCTGACTAGTGTGTGTGTGATTTATGGGTGGGTATTTGTGGAATAGTTCTTTGAGTTGTAGAGGGTAACATCAGAAGGTGAAAGGACTTCGCAGGTCTTGGTATAGTTTATTAGTATGTTAAATCTCTCAGCTTGCTCAAAAGATAATGGTAATCCCTGCTCTTCCTATTCTAGGGTGCTTCTGTTTCTTGTTCCTACCCCAGAGGTTACCAACTTATGGAACTTTGCACAGCTTCTCAGTTGTGAAAATGCTGACAGTTAGTACCTTTGCTTGGCAGTGCTTAGGCCTGTGCTTCTGCAGGGATTCAGAGTAACTTTTTGGGAAAGTCCAAAGTACTGCTGCATCTGTGATGAGAATTTGGCTCCCTCTGCTGAAACAAATGAGGAGAACAGCCTTAACTGTTACCCAAATCTTCTGAGATGTTGCAGGAATTGTTTAAATGCTATCTCAATTTATTCAAGGAATTTACTTGACACGAGGTTGGGTTTTGTTGGTTTGCGCCCCCCCCCCCTTGCTCAGTTCTGAAGCAAATTATGGGTAGAATTAGCTTCTTAGAAGAAGCATTGTTATATACTTCTAGATCTGATTCTGTAGGCGTTCTCAGTAGTCAAGGTAGCCAAGTAGTTGAGATCTCACTGCTCAAACCAAGGCAGTGTTGAGCTCTGACTTGCCTAGTGACTTGGTTTCCCTAGTATCTGGATGATGTACAGAACTTATGTTTCTGTCAATTTTTTTGCTTTTTGACAATAAGGTGAGATGGGGACTGGAATTCAAGATTACTTTTCCACTCTCCTGCAAGTTGTCTCATATGTCTTACATTTTCTGTGGAGCAGCTCTAAGTGGAGTCATAAGGAATTGCTCCATTATGCTGATCAGGAGGACATGAACATGAGTATGAGGCTGGGTACCTGTAGACTGAGGAGACAGGAATGTGTATCTCTGTTTACTTCTCAGGCTCTGGAGTTTGAGTTTTCATTATAGTTTGTAACCCCTTTTTTGACATCTCCAGTCATTCAGTTAGTGTTGAGGCAGGCATCTTCTCCAGATGCTGGCATCAGGTGCACTTCCTTACAGCTGTCATTAATGCTTTTCAGGTGTCTTTTGGTTTTCACCTTGTCACAGCTTTTTAGTAGCTAGATCTGGGTGGCTTGGATTTTTGAGAGGTTCCTGTAGTAGCTTTTTCAGATGTACTTAATGGATTCACCTGTTCCGGGTCTGGTTAAAAACAAGAAATGTATCCTTGTCCTGAAGTTATGTATGTTCAGGCTTGTCTCTGAATTCTCAGTAAAGGAGTTACAGTAGCTGTTAACATTTTAGTTAATGTCAAGCTAGTATTGCAAGTAGAAGGAAGTTCCTCTCACAAATGTATTAATACTACCATTTTCCATTTAGATCGTTTTGAATATATTTGAAATTATAGAAATTCACTCCTATAGATAAGAGTCTTAGTTGCAGATCTTATTTCACCAAACTACTGGATGTTTCTGAGAACAGAAGTAATTTGTAAGAATAATACTTTTTAAATTTAGTTAATCCTTTTGAAATAGAGTTGCAAGATGCTAACTGTTGAAAAATTTTGTCAGTTGAGTTTGGCTGATAATGTTGAGTATCTGACTCTTGTATATAGAAGCACACCAAAGTATGCTTCATCTTTTGTCCTACCTTAAGCTGCATCTTCCAAGAGTTTTTGATGAAATACACTTACGCTATTTGTTCTTTGTGTTTTTATAATGTTTGCAGCTACATTCCAGAGAAAGAATTGTCTGAAATGGTGGTAGTATTGGCAGTCTGAATAAGATTTAGGGTTTGCTTTTCCTTGGCTGGCTGTTTTATCAGAGTTGAATTCACAAAGGGAATTGGGATCCAAAACTGGAGCTCAGTACGTAGATTCAGTGCATGTGATGTGAACTTGCTTAAGGTTTTAGGGCTGTTTGATAAAATTTTGGTTGCTTTAGCATGGGTAAACGATAGTGCTTAGAATTTTTTTTTAACTGGATTTGCCCTGTTAAGTGAAACTTTAGCTTGAGATCAACTCAACATGGAAAATTTCTGCTGGTACAACTTATTTCTCATAAATCTACTGATGGTATCTTGTGAGGTGATGCACCAATACCAACACATACTAAAGTTTCAGAGGGGACTATTTTCTAACTTGCTGTTGGAGGGAGAGAATAAGAAATTGGTGGAAGAAGGAAGAAATGTTCCTGTCCAGGTGAACTGCAATTCTGAGATGATCTTGAAGTGAAAGGAGAAGGAACTATCACTGAAAAGGATGCATAAACATAAAGTTGATAACCTGTTGCTTTAATAAAATTCTGAAGAAGTTGTCTGGCTGTTGCTACTTTACCTCTATAGAGGATGTGGAAGGCTGTTCACCTTGTGTATTTAATCTCTGTAGTTGTTCACTATATACATATTCATTTGGTTAGGCTAGAATAGTACAACAGCACCAGTTTCAGACTTGCACTAAAGGTCAGCCAGATGTCTGTTTTCATGGATTTGGAGCTAGTATACTGCTTTTTACTTCTGACAGGAGCAGTGAAATTCCTTATAACTTGTTTTTTAAAGCCATATATGGGGAAGATGCACACTGAATGTGTCGTTGTATAAGACACATTGCGAATTTGTATGTTAGTCGAGTTAGTAGTCTTAATTGTAAATAGGTCCTTAAGGTTTATTTACATATTTTAAACCTGCAAGCAATTTGAGAAGAGTCCAGTGCACTCCAACTATTCAACTTTACACAACTGCTACCTTGGACTTCTGAAGGGCAGACTTCGGCCTGTTCAGGAGACTGGTTGACAGAGTCCCTTGGGAGGCAGTCCTGAAGGGCAAAGGAGTCCAGGAAGGCTGGACATTGCTCAAGAAGGAAATCTTCAAGGTGCAGGAGCAGGCCATCCCCATGTGCTGAAAGATGAGCTGGCAGGGAAGAAGACTGGCCTGGCCAGACAGAGAACTTTGGCTGGAACTCAGGAAAAAAAGGAGAGCTTATGACCTTTCAAAGAAGGGGCAGGCAACTTGGGAGGACTACAAGGATGTTGTGAGGTTATGCAGGGAGAAAATTAGAAGGGCCAAAGCCCAACTAGAACTTAATCTGGCTACTGCCATAAAAGACAGTAAAAAAAATGTTTCTATAAATACATTAGCAACAAAAGGAGAGCTAAGGAGACTCTCCATCCTTTATTGGATGCCGGGGGGAACATAGTGATGAAGGATGAGGAAAAGGCTGATGTACTTAATGCCTTCTTTGCCTCAGTTTTTAATAGCAAGACCAGTTGTTCTTGGGGTACCCAGCCCCCTGAGCTAGAAGACAGATGGGAAGCAGAATGAGGCCCCCCCTAATCCAAAGGGAAATGGTTAGCAACCTGCTACACCACTTAGACATGCACAAGTCTATGGGGCTGGATGGGATCTGCCCAAGGGTACTGATGGAGCTGGCGAAAGTGCTCACCAAGCCACTTTCCATCCTTTATCAGCAGTCCTGGCTAACCAGGGAGGTCCCAGCTGACTGGAGATTAGCAAATGCGACCCCCATCTACAAGAAGGGCCGGAGGGAGGATTTGGGAAACAACAGGCCTGTCAGTCTGATGTCAGTGCTGGGGAAGGTTGTGGAGCAGATCATCCTGAGTACCATCATGCAGCACATACAGGATAACCAGGCAATTGGGCACAGTCAGCATGGGTTTATGAAAGGTGGTCCTGCTTGATGAACCTGATCTCCTTCTGTGACAAGGTGACTTGCTTAGTGGATGAAAGAAAGGCTGTGGATGTTGTCTACCCAGACTTTAGTAAAGCCTTTGACACCATTTCCCACAGCATTCTCCTGCACAAACTGGCTGCTCGTGGCTTGGAAGGGTGTACTCTTTGCTAGGTAAAAAAAGTGGCTGGATGGTGAAGTCCAAAAAGTTGTGGTGAAGAGTTAAATCCAGTTGGTGGCTGGTCACAAGTGGTGTTCCCCAGGGCTCAGTATTGGGCCAAGTTCTGTTTCATATCTTTATCAATGATCTGGATGAGAGGATCTAGTGCACCCTCAGAAAGTTTGCAGGTGACATCAAGTTGGGTGGGAGTGTTGATCTGCTTGAGGGTAGGATGGCCCTGCAGAGGGACCTGGACAGGCTGGATCGATGGGCTGAGGCCAGCTGTATGAGGTTTAACAAGGCCAAGTGCCGGGTCCTGCACTCCGGGCACAAGAACCCCATGCAACGCTACAGGCTTGGGGAAGAGTGGCTGGAAAGCAAAAGGACCTGGGGGTGTTGGTAGACAGCCGGCTGAACATGAGCCAGCAGTGTGCCCAGGTGGCCAAGGTGGCCAACAGCATCCTGGCTTGCATCAGGAATGGTGTGGCCAGCAGGAGCAGGGAAGCGATCATCGGGGTTGATCACTGTACTCAGCGCTGGTGAGGCCGCACCTGGAATACTGTGTCCAGTTTTGGGCCCCTCACTACAAGAAAGACATTGAGGTGCTGGAGCGTGTCCAGAGAAGGGCAATGAAGCTGGTGAAGGGTCTGGAGAACAAATCTTATGAGGAGCAGCTGAGGGAACTGGGGTTGTTTAGCCTTGAGAAGAGGAGGCTGAGGGGAGACCTTATCGCTCTCTGCAACTACCTGAAAGGAGGTTGTAGTGAGGTGGGTGTTGGTCTCTTCTCTCAAGTAACAAGTGATAGGGCAAGAGGAAATGGCCTCAGGTTGCACCGGGGGAGGTTTAGATTAGATATTAGGAAAAATTTCTTCATGGAAAATGTTGTCAAGAATTGGAACAGGCTGCCCAGAGAGGTGGTTGAGTTCCCATCCCTGGAGGTGTTTAAAACACAGGTAGATGTGGTGCTTAGGTATATGGTTTGGTGGTGAACTTGGTAGTGTTAGGTTAACGGTTGGACTTGATGATCTTAAAGGTCTTTTCTGACTAATTGATTCTATGATTATGAAAATGGTTTCTGTGTTTCATTTATACCATGGGATATTGGAATTGCTACTTCAGCAGTAGCTAGGCTATGGATTTCCTCTTAATCACTA